TTACCATCAGTAAATTGCCATTATGCACACTGCTATCCTTTTCTTCGACGTGTTTTACTTGCTCTGGTTTGTCAGGGCTTGAGCAACAACATTTGTATTAATCTGATACCAGAACACTTACTAACACATGCCTGAATCACTATAACAACAATAGGCTAATTGTGACTGACAAACACTTTGATTTCGATTCCATTAGAGATTTTATTTCACTGGAGTCATTAGCCGGGAGTTCGGAGCGATTACACAAAACCCTTGGAATCGAAATATAAAATCGGTTACTGTTCGGAGAACGGGCTGCCCGAACTTGAAATGAGAATGAATGCAGAGTCGACGTACATTGCTTTTGCTGAAGACTGGAGTTGTAATCGATGCCACCAGATTTGAATTGAACACAATTCCGCGCCCGAGACGGAGCTTTGCGACGTATGCTTTTATGCAAAGCAAGATTTTACCCGGTGCGAACTTGTCGATGCAATTTTTTGACGTAAACAAGCCGTTTTCCATGCTACCCAAGATGAGCTTCTGTCATGCGGACTTTTGCCATAGAAGAACATTTGTCCTTTACGAGCCTTGCCTTATGCGCACTTGTGCCATGCACAATTTTGCCCTGAACAAGGTTTTGCCCGACGAACTTTTTCACAAACGAACAACCACCGGAAAACTTCTGTTAGCCAACCTTTGTCTGACGGACGTTCCCCGGAAGCATACAGCATCACCACTTCTCCAATGGTTATGATGTCCGTATGACCGCAGGCTTCCAAAAGGCAATCGATCTTTGACGAGAAAGCTGGGTTTAGGCCATTTTGGATGTTTTGTGGTTTTGAGGAGAGTTGAGCAGTATTTTTTGCATCATGCTCGTGATGCAAAGGGCCTACACTCCTAGTGCAGTATAAGTCCCTCCACGAAAACAGTTAGAGACCCATTTTCATGAAAAGTATAATTCCGTTGGCCCGTCAAGGACAACACTAAGTCGAGCTTTTCGTCACAACCGACGACCCTTAAGGTAACCGGCTCCCCGTTCTGGTAACCAGGCTGGCTGCCAAAGTGTCGCTTCCCCCAATGGGGCAACAGCTCACGCCGAGGCAACTTCTGCTCTCGTCAGTGATGTGTCAGCTGACACGTATGTCAGCCACCTGTGTCAGCCACCAGCCAGCCACAGGTCTCACTCTACTGGCGTGGGGAATGGAACGTGTAGGGTTGTAGTTTCCTGTTCTGGTGGGGATCTTCAGCCCGCCCCCTCTCAACTTTGAGGGAAGATTGGGCCAAATCCAGATAAAAATCCGTCTGTTGGCGAATTTTGGGGGCAGTTTCCCTAATTTGATTTGGTCCAAATTCTCTTACTCATTTAAGAGGGAGGGAGCGGGGTAGATATTCCCCATTTTTACGTGATTATCATAGTCGACACAATGAAGTACCTCAAAAACCCAACAACATTATACCATCTTATGGCCCCAGGGAGCGCTCTCTCGATCTCTCGCGCGCTCAGTCACTTTGAGATCTTCTGGGTGACGGTGCTCAATGCCCATCCTTTCTCTCCCTCTCTGTCACTCATTCGAGAACGCCCCATCACACTGAGATCCTGCGGGCGACGGCGCTCAGTGCCCATGGTCTCTATCCTCCGTCACTAATTCGAGAACGCACGTGGGTCATCTGTGGACTGGGCCGAGATTTGCGACTGGGTCAGGCAGTGACGTAGTCGGTTCACGCAGCCTGCTTAACTTTGTTTGGCCCGTCGCCATGGTGACGGCCGGCGAGGCATTAGCAGGCGGCCCGAGCGCAGCCCGGTCCTCATTGATCGCCAGGACGGTTCGCCTGCTGCAGCTGCTGCCGTGACCTGGCCCACTGCTGCCGCTCTGTGATTCTGGTGATCCTTGTTGCCTCTCTGGTGATCTGTGGGCTGCGTCTGCGGCCTAGAAGACCCGGTCCTTGACCCGAGGTCATCCGGACCCGAGCAGTGGACCGGACCCTGGTCTGCGGTGGTCCCGGAAGCCGGTGGGGGCGATCCAGATGAACAATCGGCGTCTTCTAGCCGCCGCAGGACGCGTCTGATCGCTGCGAGGACTCTGCGTGTGCTGGAGGTACAGGTCAGGCTGAAGCTGCTAGCAGGCTATCACGGTTCTTGACTATTGGCTTGCTTACTGCTGTTTCGTTGTTCTTGAATTTAACAACGGCACACCTAGTATACTTAGAAACAGGTCCAGATAATTGATAATTTGTCGTAGACATGCTCTGCCAGTGATGCCCGAATGCAATAACTGAATTCATGAAACGGAGACATATGCCCACGTGTCAAATGTGTTTATATCGTTCATGTGATCAATGCACGCAGACATGGAATTGAAATGTTGTGACCTCCATAGAAAAAATACTCCAAGGTGCGTAACGTTCTAAGTACTTCAAGGTCCGTAACGTTTCGGTTCTGTAAAATGCCGGCCTAAACTTTGCCCTGGGCGAACCCTTGTCCTATATGAACTTTTCCCCAGGAAAAACGAAATTAGTAATTACGAAACGAAATTTTGCACCGGATGAACTTTATGCGAACCGTACTCCTGTCCGAGACGAACCTCTGCCGCATAAACTTTTGCCGTTGCGCGAACAACACAAGGGCCCGTGGCCGAGCAGCGAGCACCGATCCCAGCACGGTAGTTTGAGCGGAGAATCTGTTTGCGCTGAGGACAGGGTCGTATGCGGCGGGGTGTGGTCTCGTGATAGCAGGGAGTAAGTATTATCGGTTGCCTTAATAGGTGTACAGAGGCGCTGCTGATTCTGAAATGTCTCTGTAATACGCGTGAGGCCGATGCTGAACCGCGCGCCGACTCTCGCCCATGTGTACAGCTCGTCACGTCCATTGGCATACACAAAGTACAAACGATTTTGCATGAGCCGTCTTTATCATAAACTTGCCACAAAGGCTGCGGAACCCTGTGTGACGCCGCTGCCCCCCAAATGAACACTGTCGGGTATTTGTCGCTGGCCTTGCCAGACATTTACGCAAGCCCACTTGTGCACGCATCGTGGATCAGAGACGGCGTAGTCTGGCCGGAGGACCACCCCTTAAACCCGTCTCACTAAAGTGTCATCGATAGCAGAGAAGACGTGAATAGATCGGAGCGTAAGGTGGGCTTAAGAAGGCCTCTCAGCTGTGTGTTTGAGGACGCGTGCTACGGCAGAGATTGCTGGATGATTCATGAGGTTGCCAGAGCCATTAAACCAATGCTCCTGCATAATGTGTAACACACGGGGACGTGATCAGCTGTGTGTGGGCGAGAGCAAGCGGTCCATTCGCCACAAGTTCTATGGACTTTTCGGAGACGCACGTCTATCCAATGTGGACGTGCCGCCGGGTCAACACATTGTCAAAACCCATTTTGATGTTCTCAACTCAGGAGTACGGACCAGCTTTCTAATTAAGCTTCCAAGCACTGATAGCGATGTTGCAGATGTCAGCATTGACAAGTCAGTCAGCATGGGAATAAATGAATACCATTGTCGCGCACGTCACTGCATTCGGCGACGAAAGAGAAAATGTGGCAGTAGTTGCCCTTGTTCTCTTCAGTTAACAACCCGAGCCCCGTGCGGTACAGGACAAGCGTAATCACCCGCACCTCAGGACTCGGGCCGTCAACCGGCTGGTCGCGGCTGAGTGGCCGGGGTCGGTTGAGTGCTGCGTTGGTCGTGCTGGTTCGGTTTGAAGCTTCGGTGCCGGCATCGAGGTGATGCCGGCCCGGACTAACAGACAGAGAAGCGCGTCCAGAGAGGGACGGATCACGAAGAGCAAATAACACTCTCTCTCAGATGCACACAAAGTATATTAACGATATGGCTCGGTTCGGCTATCACACTTGACAGTAGCAAACACCTGCCTAGTTCCGGTAGTCAATATGCCAATAGCGGCCAAACAATGGTTATACTGTCGACCGTTCTGTGGTAGGCACATCATTAATATCATTACCCAAAATTAACAGAGCAGCGAAGCTATGGGGACGCACACAGTCCTCACCCGACGCACAATGCCACACACATCACTCGTTGGCGCCTCCTATTGGTGACCCACACGACTAAGTGTTGACCTCGTGCCGCTACACCATGTTTATCACGTTCACCATGAGCGAGCAATGAATACAATTAGTCCCCAGTTTCCCATCAAGTGGGCGTGGTACTTCTGTTTGAAGGGCTCCTCGATTTCGCATTTGTCATGAGTTGGAAGTTGACGGGAATACGATCATTTGCCTATCATCATCTGTGTCCTTGTTCTGTTTGGATGGGGTATGTAGATGTCCATGTTTCCAACGTTTGCTGGGTTTTTACATCATCAATAACCACTGTGTTGGCTGTGCTGTGTATTCGTGCTAGTGTGGAAACCACAGTTGTCAAAATGCTTGAGCCGGATGGCAGTCGCAGCCAAAATCCCGTTTCTCTTTTTTGAAAATTTATCAGAAATAAAATCATGTTTGGCAGGCTAATACTTAGACTCACAAAACATGGACATCCTGGATGTAACAAACACAACACGTACTTTAAACCACTTCAGAACTGGTGGGGTTTGTACGAATTCAAATGCGGCTGCGTATTCTGAATGTTTTACCCGTGCACAGAATTAATGCAAGGGTCATTTGCTTTACACCTCACATGATCGCATGGCCTAAAGTCTGTCAATGTCACCCCGACGTCCTGGGGTAATGATTGATCGTGGTCGAAATGCTGATTCTGTACCGCGCTATTCGCCAGTAAGAAACCCATTCTCGATCACTGTATGAAACAACAAAACCACTACTGTTTAGAACCTGTTCAGCACCCAGCTTCCACAAACCACCACCGGGGACAAGTGAGAAGGTAATAATGCGACACTTCCAAGTCCTCGGCAGTGAAATATAGCACAACACGTCACACTGAGCTGAGGACGATCATCATCAGCCATGCCCCAACCATCACGCCCGCTCCCTCACTGCATGTGTCCGCGCACGCCGCGCTCTGTCTGTCGCAAACAAGACTGTGTTATTCTAGATGATGTTGTTGAGGTCCAGCCAGTCAGCATCCAGGCGGTGCAGCGCGTAGTGGACGCGGGCCAGCACGAGTCGCTCACGCAGCGCGGCCGGCAGCAGCCAGGCCAGCGCCAGCCAGAGAAGCGTGCCCGCCTCCAGGGCCGTGTAGTGCTGGAGCGGCGCCGCGTCCAGCACGGCGCGCAGCACCACCTGCCGCAGCCGCGGCGTCGTCAGCACGGCCGGTGGACGCGGCCCCACGCCCTCGAATTGCGCGCTGAACGTCGCGAACGGCGCGGCGTCGGCGCGGCGCGTGGCGGCGCTCATAGCGCGCCACATCTCGTCGACGTCGCACGCCTGCCGCGCCAGGATGTTGGTGTGAGCAGCCATGTCGCCGGGCGTGATGAGGGCCACGTGAACACCGCGGCGTCGCACCTCAAGCCGCATCCCGGCGACCAGCGCCATCCCGGCGGCTTTGGTGGCGGCGTACACGGCCACCTCCTGGCAGGGTATCATGGCGCACGTGCTGCTCACCACCAGAAGGCGACCGCCGCTCTCAGTGAGCGCCGGCAGTGCGGCGCGCGCCGCGCGCACCGCACCCAGCATGTTCACCCGTACCATGCGCTCCACCTGCTGCTCCGTCAGCCAGGCCACGTGGCCGAGCACCAGCACGCCAGCGTTGATGATGACCGCCCAAAGGCCGTCCGGGCCGGCCAGCCGGGCCGCCTCGGCCGCCGCCGCCTCTACCGAGCCGGCGTCGCGCACGTCCACGGCCAGCGTGCGGACACCGGCGGCGCGCAGCCGGCGCGCGCCCTCGCTGCCCACGTCCAGACAGCCGGCCAGCACGCGGCAGCCGGCCGAACGCAGGTGGTGCGCGCTGGAGAAGCCGAAGCCCGAGTCGGCGCCGACCAGGTACACGACGCGGCCAGCGGCCGGCAGCCGGCGCCGCCGCCACACGGCCAGCGCCAGTAGTGGCGCCAGCGGCACCAGAGCCAGCGGCGCCAGCAAGGCGACGAACGCAGCCGCCGCCGCCGCCACACAGAGGCACAACATGGCGCGCGACCTGGGCCGCTCGCCGGGCGATCACCTCTTGGGCCTCCACTACCACAAAAACGTGATAGACTTGCTGAATGGCTGATTTTCGGTTGGCCAGTGCCGGACAGCGCGCACCTCACGCGATGTTGCCTCGCACTCAACACGCCAGTTGCGCGCAACGCTAAAGCAACTGCACACGGAGAGCGCGCGGACACCGTCGCACGCAGCCGACACACAAGCGCATCAGCGTTCCAGAGGTGAACCCTCCTGTAGACGTCCTGTGGTCTGGCCAAGGCTGGGATGGCAGCAGCGGCGCCAGGAGCCGTGACCGGAACACCGGGCCAGGTCATGGGTCATCGTCACGCCGCGGAACTCCGCAGCGTCGCAGCGGTAGAGGTGCTGGATGGCCGGACAGACCGCCCGAGGCGCGGAACTGGACGCGCCCCTGCCCAGGTGCGATACGATCGGGTGCCGGAGTGAACGACACGCGGGTGTTGTTGCGGGGCGCTGGACGCCCGCCGCCCGTCCGCTCACTCGTCGATTTTTTCGGTAACGAAGAGCACCGCACGGCTCCGTAAGCCGACGGACGGGACGCTTGTCACTGTACTGAACGCGTCAATCAAAACTGCAGGAATTAGTACGTTGACGACATTGCTTGTGTTGAAGATCAGAGCGCCGAAAACAAGTCCATTACTCCAAACAGTTACCCATAACTGTTTAAAGACCTAAGCGCAGCGCTGTGTACGCAGTGCACGCAGATGGCGGATGAAGCTCCACGGAGCCGCAGACATGGCTTGTATGCTGCTGCTTTGCGGCCGAGCTTGGGCCAGCCCGGCGGGCCGCGTCAGATCAGCCGCAGCGCTGGTCAGCCGCGCCAGACGTGACGACATGCAAAGATGCGTTAGCCGTTACACCACGAGTTGCCAACTCGGGGCAGCACCAGAGTGGGCCAGCCGCGCCGGACGTGTCGACATGCAGAGATGCGTCATCCGTTACACCACGGGTTGCCAACTCGGGAAAGCACCAGAGTGCAGCCGTAAATGATAACCATGTCTTCCAACAGGCTTTACATTCGGCACGTGGTGTGACGTGTGGCCCAACGAAACCGACTGCCAAAGGCCCAAGGGGGGAGGGCATAAGGGCCCGAAGGGTTGACGCGGACGCGACCCGAAGGGTCATGACCCGAAATACCAGTCAGAGATCCTCTTGCACCGTTTGAGGCCCGGTTGGCCTCAGGCGAACCGGGTCTTTGACAGTCGGTTCCGTTGTGCCGCCCGGGTCCTTCTTTGGGCCCCATTGAACACTGCCCTTGGTCGGCTTGGGGCCCTTTGTGAGCACAGAGCACTCTGACAGGCGCTGTCGGCCAATGACAGATACAGGGGCCTCAGCCAGTGTAAATCACTGACCCGGCTATGTAGATGATTGGATGGTGGACCTTCAGGCCCATACTGACACGGGGCCGACTGTGCGGTACTGGTGGTGCCTGACCGACATATAGGCCCATATCGACTCAGGGGGCCCTGATCAACGTGCTCTAGCATTGGCTGGCATTTGAGTGCCCGGCCATATATGGACCTGGACCCTCAAATACGTCCTCCGGCCGGCCTTTCGAGACCCTCGGAACCACAAATCGGGCTCTTAATCGTAGGTCCCGAGAGGCCCTTCTGACCCCTCAGAACCTAAGGGCGGAGGGCACGTGCCCCTTGTGCCCCTCCCCCCTTTGCTTGCGCCACTGAATATCACTTTCCGAGGGTGTGCAGTCCTCTGGATTTACAGAAAACTAATCTGGGAGGCACGAAGGGGGTTGCTAAAATCTTGCGCATTGATATCGGTATAGTAATCTTTTCGGACGAGTTGCGGAGTCGTAAGGGATTCGGTGCGAATCGGGCTTAACATTCGTTGCGATAGGGGGAGGGGAGGGGGAGCTTCGCCCTCCCATCAGACTTGTGTTCAACTAAAAAAAATTTAGTCGGCTTAGGACTGGCTCTCAGATTTTGGGATCCGATTCAGCTCGCGACTCTTGGCCGTGCCAGGTGTTTGATTTGACTTGGTTCGCATGCATTGCTTGCATGCAGTCATTTTTGCTAACTCACGCGGCTTGCGAAATCAAAGACCTGATCTATCTATCTATATTTATATAGCACAATAGCCTAGTGGCAGGTTTGTCATTTGAGCCTGCCAAATGCAGTGCAGCAAACAATACCTTTCCTGTGACCTGTTACCAAACAGCTTTCTCACGTCACAGCAATGTGGCTAGCATATTCTACCTGCACCTACGACCCAGACCTATTAGTTATATAGCATGCAATTTTGCTTGACTGTACCTAGCCTGGCAGTCCGAAGTCCGCACCGGCCAAGTGCCAACCAAGTACATTCACACGTATGTAATCACTTCCATTAGCCTGTACTAGCCATGCGGTCAGTTCATTGGTGTGATAGTTGACTATAAAAGATGTGACCAGAGGCCAGTTTTATAATAATAAAAAATCGTCGCCACTCCTTGCCAAAAAAAACTCACAAAAATTCCTCCGTTTACCGAAATTTATAAACGGTCCTGACACCCGACGTAAATTTCACTGGCGACGACTTTTTTAGACTCAAAATCGGCTGTTGCTTCTCAGAAGTACCAGCTGCTATCGTGCCGTAAACAAAGATCTTTTTTATTTTTGCGATCGTTAATTAGGCCCATTGATAACGAAAAATAGTTTGTATTGTCGCAAGTTAAATTAAACAATTGTTCTATGCATGCAATTTGATATATTTGTGTCACAATCACATTTTGACATCTATATTTAAAGCAAATTTCTACCCGAGTGGTAGGCGGTGATCAGAGGTATAAAGGAAGATATATCTCGGCCTGCGAAATTTTTGCGTTTTCCTTCTAGTTGAATATGGTATGAAGCATTCCGAGTTGCGTAAAAAAACAAATATATTCAAGGTCGTCCTGAGTAGAAATAAAGTGAGGGTGGCAAGTAGCTCACGGGTGTCAATTTGTTTTCTTTTACGTGTGCCACTGCCCCCCCCCCCAAGTCTCCCTTGCCCCCCCCAAACGAAGAGTTTGAACCCCCAATCTTCTGGCGCTGAAATAATGTAGGGTATGAATGATGAGAAATTAACATTACAGTAATTGTGACGAAGGTTTTTACTATTGTTTCACAGGGAGAGGAGTGAATAAAGTGAAAAGTGCAATTCATATTCAGTTGATAACCATCTGTTTTTTTCGGCGTGATGCATAGTTATAGATGCACGATCAGTATGTCTTGTTGACTTGGGTTTAATTTTGTGCTATCGTGTGTTTTGGCATTAATGAGCGATGTTTCATATTCTACAGACTGCAGCAAGTTGCGTGATTCTGTTCTGAAATCATCGGATGGAAACAAACTGGTCGAAATTAGGACTCAGAAATGCGACCTGGCTATAGCGCGTTTACATTGGGAAGAGCCCTTAAAATGTGATGGACTCCATTTGGATGTGAACACTCGATGGGACAGTTACGAGAATTTGGTGATCGACGCCAGCCGACTAAACCGATGCGGCAGTGCCCCGACAGCATGCCTGATGCGAGCGCTGATTTGCTGCCCACACCCCGCCTTGCGACTGTCAGCCGGGGTTTCCGTGGCAGCTTTTAATAGTCGCGCACAGTAGCTTCTACTCTTTACTCCCGAGGCTGTACACGTTTAAGAACGTCTGAAGCCACATAACATCGACGTTCCGTCGATTACCGGAACTTGGTTCCGATGATCGACGCCCAACAAATTAATAATGATACCCAACGTCAACATCTTCCGCCAAAAAGGAGCGAGGAAGCGTATTAGAGCTGAAATGTGGTTTCTTATTCGGTTGAGGGGTGGGGGGGGGGACACCAGCTTCAAGATGTTAGGAGAAAAGTGCACAAAACCCGGGGAAACCTGTTGTTTAGTGTATTTTTGGTTAGGTTTTCCACTCTCAGCCCCTCAGGCCCAGTGGAGGCGGACCCACCACCAGATTTCTCCAGCGTCTGGTTTGAGACCGAGCCTATTTCCCAGGCAGAGATAAGGTCAGGCCCGCGATTTACATCAACCGGACCCCGGAGTCAATGAGGGGCCCCTGCGTCGGTATGGGAATGACAGCGTCTGAAAAGGGTCCTTTCCTAAAAAAAGGGCCCTAAATCGGCCAGGGATAGTGTTCGTGGGGTCCCTCAGAGGGTACCGTAGTGCCCCTCGGCACCGACGATCAAGTGTCAGATTGGGGCGCACAAAGAGTTGGCGGTAGGTCACACTGAAGACCCCGTCCCGCAGGGTCGGGCCCTCAAATATCAGTTAGAGGGCCTCTCGCACCGCTGTGGAAAAGCCTGGGACAATGCGGATGTTTATACCTGTCAGAGCACCAACACCGAGCAATTGGCCCCGTATAGGTCTGAACCCTGGAGGCCTCTTTCCCAAGCAGGGACAAGGTCAGGACCGCGGCAACAATGTGTGCTCCTGTGTCCGCCAGACCCCCACAGTGCCTAACAGAGGGCTCTATGTCTGTGAGGGGTCTTGAGTCGGCCAGGGTAACATTTACTAAACAGGGGTAGGGACGGGACCCCGAATGCTAGAAGGCCTCGTGTGTGGAAAGTGCATAGCAACGGAAGTGGATATGAGAGATTGTGACGAAGGGCTAAACAGACAATGCAAGGACCAGTGACAGCCAGGGGCTCCATTTCACAACGGGGAAGGAATGCTCCATCCCATTTCAGCCAAGGGGTCTCTGCTGAACTGTAGCCTCTGTGGTAATTAATGGACACCTCCGATGGTAAGAGATCTTTGTGCGTCAATGACGGCCCCTGCGTCTATCCAGGATCAAGCACTCTGTTCAGGGGATACCGACGTCGGGCAGGCGACTAATGTAAGACAGATCCCTCTAAGGGCTTTCGTATTCACCTGGAGATCCCACACCCGAGTCGCCAGCATGACGGCCGCCAAGCACCCCGCGCTCTGGTTGAATGAACGATTATTTTAACCCCTGACAGGGGAATCTAATGTGCCCCTAGTGTGGTGCCCACTGGGCCCTTACCCGGAAAGGTGATGATTTCTTCGGTGTTCAATAGGGCGGATCAAA